TGACGCTTGGTGGGGATCAGCTGGAAGTCGTTCCGAAATGCAATTACCTGGGACGTTGTATCAGCGCCCTTGGGATCGAAGACGAGATCACGAACCGTATAGCGAAAGCTCGAAGTGCTTTTGCTAACCTTCGCCACCTATGGCGCCGGCGCGACATCACTCTCGCCCTAAAGGGTAGAGTGTACAATGCAGCGGTACGTTCGACCCTACTGTACGGTTGTGAAACCTGGCCGCTTAAAGCAACGGACCTGAAGAGGCTAGTTACGTTCGACCACCGGTGCCTTCGTAATTTAGCTCACATTTGGTGGGAACACCGCATGAGTAACGAGCGTGTTCGGCGCCTTGTTTATGGCACCGGAAAAGGAAATGAACCGCTCAGCACCGTTATTTCCCGCATCAGGCTCCGATGGCTCGGCCACGTGTTACGCATGCCAGCCCACCGACTTCCGCGACGTGTGTCGTTTGCGCGCCGGGGGTGTGGATGGAAGAAGAGGAGGGGTGGCCAAGCGATGACTTGGTCCAGAGGAATGAAGACCCTCACTTCTGAGCTGGCATCGGTTGGAGCGTCTCGACACCCTGGTTGGGGTCCGAAAGACGATGAACAAGTTTGGTTGGACACACTTGCTGATATGGCTAGGAGCCGACCTCAGTGGCGTTCGTGCTGTGAGTTTCATTGTCCCACCCCATCCCTCTTAGCCTCCCCCTAAAATCACGATCTAATTATTTAGCCTTATGTAATTTTGCATAATAATATTTTTGGGTGAACAGCAGCCGGCTGGTAGCTTACCGGAACGATGCCCATCCGTTACCGGTAGCTCAGCCAGCTTGCAACAGTTGCTCTCTTTCTGCTTAATTTCTATGTATTGAGGCACAGTAGCTGAGGTGTTCCCCACATCTAGCTAACGTGCATGATGATGATGATGAAGTTTGGAAGCACCTGTGATGCACAAATAGTTACAGGATGTTTGTGGTGCATGAATTTGGATTCGAGGTGAACATAGCACAGGCGCTCAAACAACAGCCGAATTAAAAGTGTCCCTTTGCAACTGTGCGTGAACATTGGTTGCATGTGCATGAGATACACTCGGGAGATTGTACTCACAGTGTTTGCAGGAATCCCGTACCGGCTATATAAACAATGAGATCTTGGGCACCAAAGTTGCCCAGTTCCTGAGACGGCGAACGTGTACTGCGGTTGCGTCGGCCTGGCGTACATGTGGTCATTCGCGAAACATTTGCTCTTTCCGAATCGACATGCTGAATCACATTGGCTGGTACTACGTTCAGAATTGGTGATAGAGCCTATGTATGTGCTGTGATATCCCCATGTGCTGTTTCCTCCTGACACAATGAGCGTGTCTGCATCACCCGGACTTTCGACATCCAAATAAAAAGCAGAATAGGGATAGAGTTGTTACTATCCGAATCCCACCAGAATTGACCGTTGGGTCCTGCATAATATTTCCAGATATCACGCAGATTGTTGTTCCGAATAACATCACGGAGAGTTAGAAATTAGAATTCCATCGATGAGAAATCAATCCGGCACATGCGGTACACTGCGTGTCACTACTGCGAGGGCATTACACAAATTGACTCATGATTAGGATGGCGATTCTCCGCCAAGTGCAGCGTTCAACGTAGTGATAAATTGATCTCCACTACTGCGAAATAACGAATGGTATGCCCCAGTTGACGGAATCAGCACCTGCCTCCAGGTTTCTACTCCATGTCCCATCGACATAGAAACGAGGTGCTACAGTTGGCCTAGTCGTCAAGAGGTTTAGACAGTGAACATATGTGCACCCACATTCCTCGTGCTTGCTCAACTTGCGACGCTGTGTTCTGAAGCACATGGAACACGTAGCTTGAATATCTACCCACACTTGTCGACATTCGGTGTGATTGCAGTGGATAAGTGCGGGTGGCGACGAATCGGCGATGGGGAGATTAACATACTCAAACGAATATCAATCTGTTGTGTGCATGCAGCCTTTTTGTAGTCTCAATGTCAGCCCGAAGTTTTGTCCCTGATATAGTGCGAAGTGACATTGATATTTCATTTGCTGAAATAGTGCAAACACCCACCATGAAGTGGACCCACTATTGCTGGTTATTTGTCAAGCACAATTTGCACACCATACAGCCTACTTGGGGAATGTCACAATGCGAAGTTTTGGCTGTGACTATACCACGTGGAGACAAATGTGCTGTTGGACATGGGGACCGACGTAGCACAATGCGCTAATATGGATGTGGCGTGCGCATTTCATGGAACAATGCATTTACGCGATGGGAGTGACCTGAATGCCATTCAGCTGTGGGAAGCAGTTAGCAAGGAATACGCGAGTCGAACAAGCCGCATCCCATCGCCGCGGCCGACGAGCCAAACTCATCCGCCCTGATTGGGGCGAACAGAAAGCCACCGATCTCGGGAATTGGAGATGGTTGCTTGGCGACTCCCAAAATGGAACACAGAGTTCCACGTGCAACACATGGTATAGTCGTGAAATGGATGACCACACTCGAAAGTGCCGCCGCCTCGGCGCCAAGCAATAACGTCGATTAAGTCACCCATTCGATACTGACATCTGCCCAGCGAACGGATGAGCAGGGCAGTAGATAGTGTTGAGACGAGCGTGTGCATCGCACTGGTCAATATCCGGGAACGACCGTACATCCGTGCATCCCCGGGTACTCACGTAACTTCGGTGATATCGAAGCACTCCGAATTCACGGGTTCACAGCAGAGTTTTCATCTTTCCGTGGTCTGTCGATAGACCTAACCTCTTCAACAATGGACTGTGCAAAATGTGCTCCAACTATAGGCGTATAACCAATGAGCAGTTGAAATTTGAGTGTGAGATAATATGTAGATGACATGTAGGTTTAAGCACACACGCACACGCACACACCCACACACATGATACTACTGAGGAGGCTTGCACATTAACCATTTGACAAGTAGAATAGAGTTCGCTGAGCAGGTGCGTGGTCAACACATTGATACAAGCATTTTGTTGCCTCATGCCGTGAACAGCGGATTCTCTTGAACGAGGCCTTCTTGCTGCTCGTTCGCCAGTAATAAAATGTATGATTTGTATCAGTTATGAGGAACACCTGAAGTAATCATGTGTGCGAACGCCCATAGGCCAGTGTGTGTTGAGAAAACAAGGTGAACAATATTGCGTATCTGACTAGCATGCTGATGTGCAGATTCCCAGTAATGTTCTGAAATCCCTTTGTCTAACATATTGAGTACTCTGCGTGCTTATTACTAGCTAGACGCAGACAACTGTATAGTTACCTATCTACATCGCATCGTTCGTGCGTGTCCATCATTGTAATAGATTCGAGCATTCTCACTGTTGCGGTTGAGCGCTAATACCCATCCGCCTCCATTACAGTAACTGCGTATTTGGGTGAATAATTCACGGGGACAAGAGACTTGCAAGATGAGTCCGATTTAATGTATAGTGGAAATGCTCAGCGAGATTATTCGTGTAAACGTAGGAAAATACTAACCACTGAGACAAAGTTAAGCCGAGTAGCACAATATATAAATGAGGGCGATACGAAAGCCTGTAAGCCTTAACCATAGCGGTAGGTTCTCACAACATGTCATCCGGCCTAGCGGCACGTTAACAAGCATGCACTGCTCAACTGGCACTGCAGTACATACCTTGTGCTGGTGACTCTAAACAACTCTAATTGGTTTCGCGGTTGATCGCGCAACACCGGGGTCATATTTCAGATTTCGCAATCCTGTGCCGTTCATCTGGTTTCCCATTACTAAAAAGCGCAAGCCCAAGTACAAAGTCGTAGCAGTGACCAACAATGCTGTGAGGAAAGTTGGATAATCAACCGAATGATGGTGAACAGCCTCGATGGTCGTGGAGTTTATTGTAAACATGTTCGAACAATGGGAAGGTTGCGGAGCCATCGTGACGGTAGTACAATGGTGGAGTACAGCAATGCAAACACAAAAATCACTAACCACATCATGATTGGTTGATGAGACCATTCGGCTCATGAGGATTAATCCCTCTGCCGGATCTGTCTGCTTCGTAGCCGGTGGTTGGAATTTGAGACACGCACATTGATCAACCGGAGTGGGAGTATGATCGGTTAACTCATCACGCCTGTGACTACCCGGATCAATCAAATGGCTGCACTGGGATGAACATGTGCTCCAGCTCTGCCGGCTTATATGAAGCCGCAGACCGCTCGGATGGGAGCACTGAGGATTCATTACAATCTTCCACATAGGCAGTCATGCACTCGAGAGGAATATTGCGTCGCCCGCTTGGTGCAATGACGGACCCAGTTCGGCGTGCGGAGGAATTACGAGTGAGTACACGAGTAAACATTGATGAGAACATGACTTACATCCGTCAATATTTCGATGATGCTTAATAACGTGGCTTATGCACTCGCATTCTAATGATTTGTGCCTTCGCTCACAATCCTCGGTCGTTTTCGCTATTAGGTTACCTTTTAGATTACAACACTTTTCGTGCATACATGTGGATAGAAATAGGTCATTCCAATGGCACGGTTTTCCGTTTCACTACGGATGCATTTGGAACACGTGTGAACCATCGGTATTTTGATGCTCATTCTATGATCTTATCCCAAATATTGCTGGGCTCTCAGTACATGTGTATAGCTGTTGTCCGGGCGCTTTATATCTGCGCATGACGTACCGTGATCTAGGAAGTTATTGAAGAACAAGTTCTCTGTGCTGTCACTATCCTGTGGGTAGTCGAACCACAAACAATCTTCGTGATTGCGGTGGGTGATCCTTTGATCTACTGATACCAATGCACATGACTGACCGTAAGGTGATTGAACCTAACGATTTGGATTTTATCGATATCTCTGTAATATTCAGCAAGCACTTACCTGCATGCGTGTGTGGGTGTCACTAATATCATCGTTAATTCCGGTGTTGAAGCAGTGGGAATAGTTTCCACCTTGATCGATTTCAGTTGCATAGGATGAAAATGAAGCGGAAGCGAGGGCAACGCTTTGCAACCAACCTGCGTGAATTAGTACAGGAGCTTTTAGAAGAAGAAGAAGTAAGTTTCCGGAACTGTCTCTTTATTTCCGTGTGCGCTAAATTCACCATCTAACACTTTGCTGACTGTCACTTGGGAAATCTTCTCAACCTGTTCATTCAACCCCATTTCTCATTGACTTTGTAGCATCTAATGGCTCTTGAGGAAGAACATTCGAATATCTCAGACGACGGGTACACTGTGCTCGGAAGTGTTGCATCGTCGAATGACAACCGACGTGGTAAGTGATGCTTGACATACACTGCATTGATTGTAACTTTCGAAGTTCAACTGAGCAGGGATCAGCTTGTGTTGTAGTTCAGGGTAGAAGATCTTCGTAACTAGTTCTTTGGCACTGATTCCGTTATCCGGACGAAACACATAATGCATTGTCACTGATTAAGCTTTGGTTTAATGAGAATGAATTCCAGTGTGTGATGACTGATTTTGTTGTGATATGGGTTAAGCATTTTCACTAGTGATGAGGCCACTGTTGCACACTGCATTTGGTGTGTGTCGAAAATAGGTGTTCCGATTCGTACGAATCATAAAGCCGGTTGAAATGGGCTGCAGAATGCTGGAATGCGTTGGATGTGTACCCGAGGTGCTGTGGTGGTCACCCATCACATAACAGGTCCTCGAATTTTCAAGCAGTACGATGATGCATTGCGCCGAATTCTCTACGACGGCTTCCACATATGATGGAAGCGTAGCGAAAAGCATCAATCAGTCCATGTCGGCAAAATGAGCGCCACTGCATTTGAAATGCAAAGTTCGGATGTCATTGGAGTTGATGGTGGTGATACTAGTGATACCTGGTGTCCAATGTCCTCCACATATAGGTAGGTACCAGTCGACAAGCTTCTCCTTTCTAAATCTGCACGACTGCTTCCGCTTCTTCGTGTTCGCCCCTATGAACCTCTAGGAAACAGAGTTGTTAGAATCGGAAGGCTTGGAGTATTGTACTCCAACTGTGAAGTTGGGGTCCAGGGGATTGTAAGTAGCATGGGAGTAGAGGTCCACGCTACAGTCTCGTGTTCGAATACATGATTCATACCCAGTGAGATTGCGTTTCTTGCTCACTGGTTGGCCTCTGAGTCGCAAGCTCGAATCCCGTCACTTAGCCAAAATATGTCCACCTCATCACACTGCCCCAATGGTCTCAATCATGCGGCATCTGGGGTTCGCGTTCTGCGTTGTGTTTCTAATCATGGATCATTTTCATTTCAGAGCTCAAATCACAAGTGAAGGGGCCAGCTGAGGAGAATATGGTACACTTCAATGATGATAGTGCTCGATTGCGCGTTGCTTGCGTGTGCCAGCAGGAGCAATTGGAGACGTTGGAATACCATCCGCTTCGGCTGCACCTCCCACGCCTACCCTCCACCAACAGCGCTTTCACGCCTTTCGAATTGAAACGGCGTCAGATGAACAGCCCAATGACACGAGCAAATGAACCAACGTCAAGGCTCCATGCGGAGCAGTTTGACGTCCGTTAGCAGCAGACATCCATATCCGTGGTGCATGGGACCTGTTCCCAGTTACCGAAGCCGACTCAGTCACAACACATCCGGCTTGAGCCCATCTGCGTTGAGAGCCATGCTACCACCATCCTCAGCTTTGATGAGGTCGACTCTTCAAAATGTATGAGATGGGTTCACTGCCACCATTGCTCGTTGAGCGGATCATCATGGATGCATTGTGTCAACACATCAAGGATCCGGATGCCGTATTTGGACCAAGCCACTCTGACAAATCTGAGACTATTCTAACTTAGCAAGTGTGACGAACTGATGTGATGTTTTCAAAACTATTTCCCTTTCGAATTCATGGCAATTAACCTGTTTCCGACATATCCCGTAATGTACAGAATATTGCAATGTATTGCTCGATGTGATTTGCTTTCTCGAATGAAATTACCCACAATCCCTCTTACCTCTGTGCTCATTCGGGGACACACTGAGATGGGGGGGGCGGGGGACGTGTCAATGGTGCATTCATTTCACTTGTGGTGTAGTTGTTACTGATTGGCCAGCTACTGAGTAGGCATGCGGCTCTGTGTACCTATGTGCTCATGCCATACATGGCAACCTCATGAATGATGTGGTGCACAGTGCTTGAGATGATGGATGTCCATTTGACAGAGCGCTGTAGGTATTACATTTCGCACGTCATTGTGGTGGGTATGTTTGTGGGCTACCATTGTTTGATTGAATTAGGATGCGTAAGCATGGTTGATCAAGTATGGATATGCGATCGCTTACAATGTTACGGTGGGATGATGTGGGGGGGGGGGTTGACCGAACATTTTATGTAGACATTGAAGGAACCGGCGTGATCCACGTGTCCGGATGCAATTTCCAAGGAGGATGATTGTTTGTGGCCAGGTGTTGATGATTCAGTAATTCACATAGAGCCGCCGAATTGATTCTGACCCAGTACACGCAATTCACGTTTGACCGAAGTGGTTTGAAGTAGATGTTGGCCGATTCGCAGGAAGAAATCTAGGCTTAGCTAACATATGTGGAGAAGAGTGCATCTGATTTCAGCTTGAACACTGATGCACTCTGTTATAGCCGCAATAGAGCGGCTACTGACAATCATTCAGCGTATCTATTCGCCATGTCCTGATGTGATCAGTAAATCCCATCAACATGTTGCTCGGTGTCGCCATGGAAGTTTGCAAAAAGACGTGAATGTTGCACTGAGTCATGCTGCGCACCAAGTTCCACTTGGATGCGATGTGACGCAGAGCGCTGAACTCCGAAACTAACTCACATGCGCTTTTGTATTCTACTATTCCTCATGTCGTAATGTTTGACACTGGAGACACGATTGGTTGATGTAGACACTCGACTGATTTCGACTAATTCAAGTAGGGCACTCACGACAACCTCCTCTGCAACCTCAGTCGAATCAGTCCGACAGGAATGTGTTATCATGAGTCGGGTGGTGCACGATGGCTGTCCATGAAAGCGGTGCAGTTCGAGAGTCAGAATGGAAAGAGTCCCCACCCAGCCATTTGTTATTCATAAGTATTTGGGTGCATGATGACCGGGATCACCGGTTGGCGTCATATGCCATTACATGTGAGTTCAGCAGTTCAGATCGCATATTTTTCTACTTTCTGCACCCAGTGCGTCTTTTGGCGTGGGTATACATGTTGATTAGAAGCTTCAAACCAACACCTCAGTAGATCGGCCCACTCGGGACTAACAGAATCACAGGAGAATGTGATGGAGCAGTTAAATTAGCGTGTAGAAATAATATCAACCAGATGAGTAGACACATAGCATGTGTCACGACAATGTGGGATCCGATATGATTGGGTGTGATAAAATATTGCAGTAGTTTAGAATAACAGGTAGTGTTATTAATGGGTTAGCTTCTCCGTTCAATACGCACTAGGTGATGCGAATTAACCGGATGTCATAGCCCAGTGGCGTAGTTAAATTCCAAGAAGACGAGATAAAGCAAACGATAAACATTTTTGTTTCTCCACCTGCAAGTGGAA